CTGACCTTTAAAATAACTTTTATAATGTCTTATCTTACTACAACCGTCTCTAAAGTTGGATCAACTTCTTGAAGTCACGTGAAGAGTTTATTTCTTATATCAAATATAATATTAAATTAAAAAGCTTGAGGTCTGGTAGGAATGCATAGTGAGAGGGATAGGTGTGGGTGAGAATGCAGTCCCGGTCAAGATTTCTATCACAAAGTTTAAAACCTAAAAATTAACTTGAAGTACCATCAATTAGTTAAGACTAATGACAATACGTTTGGGAGAAAGAAAAATGTTTTATCCAAAAAAGTTATAATAAGTTTGAAAAACTTCATGAAAACCTAATAAAAACATACAAATTATGGTCACTAACCTCTAACTTAGATGTTTTTAAAACTCGCCAAGAACTTCGAAGTGTCCACATCAAGCTAATTAATTATATGCATTAACAAAAACGTAAAACGATATAAAAATGTGGAAGTCAAGCTAGCCTTCTTTAACGTTCGAAAAAATATATATATACATACTTAAAACAACAATATCAGGTCATAGTTTTGTTGCTAAGCGACACAGACGAACGGAGCGTTACCAAAAGACATTTCGCTTTTACATATATTAGATTGTTTAACATCTTCTCATACTTCAAGCCCCATGTGACAGTGTTGTGTAGAACAATGCCACTCTATGATTCGAACCATGCATTCTACAATAATCGTTGTCGTCAATTGCCCTGATGAAGGTGAAATGTGCAGTTACCAAAATGCTCTTAGTTAAAAAAGAAATAAAAAATAAGTACCCACACAGTTAGTGCCACAATGAAAACTTATGATAGACCAAAACTAATGTTTCGAAGCATTATAGTTATCTTATTCTGGGGTGTTATGATACTTGTACAAATATTTGTACCTCTACACTTGGATTTTGTATCCCATAGAGGTGAGTTATTTCTTGGAAATGTTAAAAATCGCATGCTATGAGAAAGTTTGATGATTGTTTCCATTTATTATTCTAACAGACATACAACAAAGCACTGAACACCTTAATTTAGGCTCGAGAATGTATCGTGGGGATTATAGAGTCCAGACAGGATAGAAAACTGTCAAACTTACTTACCTCCCGCTCTCACGAGAACTTGTGGTCAGTTAATACAAACACGTAAAGGTTTTTAGAAATGCTTCATTATTTATTTTTTTTCCTACAGAGCATCATATTTTTGTACTTTATAGATAGCTTCACTTCACCTACTGGATGGTGTTCAGGATAAAAAATAATATATTTTCTTCATACGTAATATATTCGTTAACCAAACTAACGCCCTAGCTTGAATCAAAACAGTAGGCACAGTTATAAATAAAATAAATTAATATGGTGGACATTTTAAATTAAGGTAATGTACATCTAGTAGTACATCTAACTTGAACGGCACCTCATGCAATACGTGAGTTAAAAATCAAATCAAGAAGCATGACAGTAATTTTGATTGTAAACGTTCTGCCTCAAAGTAAAAGTTCAGGTTTGAACGCAACCGGGGCTCCCAGAAAACAATTTCTCTTCACCCCCACACTGGACTAGAGATTATTTAAAACTGCTGCATGAAAAAAAAAATAATAATAATCATACTAATTATATTGATAATTTCTACTCGCAGATCAGTTAATGGAACGAATCAAATACCCTTACAGTTCAGTTTCATCCTTAATTTAGAGCTGCTGACAAGGTGGGGAGGGCAATCAGTCTAGTTAGTATGCGGCTGATCTTAACTGAATAGCAGGATTAAATATCACATTTATAACGCCCCTAAAGTTAAAATTCCGGAACGTATTTAGTGGTATAATACGAGCGGAACATTGGGCTTTCTGATACACACCTGGAAATTTCTAATCACTAGGTCAGTCCGGCTGTATTACTGCAAATGGATGATTCTCGAGAACCGGTGATTTCGGTATTTCATACGGTTATATACTCAATAGCGTGGTTGAAGATGCAACGATATAAAGGAATTATATTTTCTTCTTCAGCTATAGTAACGTACAGTAATTGGTGTTTTAAGTTTTTACACTTACAAGTGGTTTACTTATATCTAATTATTTACTGTTATGTTAAGAGGTTTAATCTGTTATTTTATATTGAAAAGTTATACAACGAGCTATTTGCGCTCTGTTCACCTCGTTCGTAAACTTACCGTTGACACAACGGGAGACATCTAGTAAAGGTAATATAGACAACGTAATATCCCAAATCTTGGAATAAATAAAACAAAATAAACCATTCTGCCTTTGTGAACATATAAATACATATACACATAAGCCTGTTGGATAATAACCACAACTTAGTAGCTTTGTCCACTACGGGTCAATATGCCAATTAGGTTCTTATGGAGTTGCCCACTGACAAACAGAACGTATTGTTCTTGTCATTTTTAAATTATATACTTCTTTTACAACTTGATTTGATGTAAAAAACTAGTAAATGAATATACTTTATTCACCCTAGACTCCATAAATACAAAAAATAGAACAAAAATATTGTTTAGTTTAGTTCCCCCTTTCACTTTAGATAAATAATGATATATATACTTTGATTATTGCCTGAATATCTTATTTTCTTCCCCTTCTTTGTCTACAGGATAAGAAATTTCTAAAAATCGTATCTTTAGGTAATTTTGTGCTCAAAGATGTGCGACAAAATGAATTTTAAGCTAAGAAAGAATATTTGAAATTATGATGATAAACATATTAACTCGCTTTTTTTTTTTTACGAAGAATAGTTTATCACTACCAGCTAGGAACCGTAGTTCCGGTTAATGCCACCTATCCCGTGGAGTTTGATATGCCTTTATAAAACTAAAAGAATATATACCCACGTTCTGTCCTACCTGTGAGTGTGAGAAAAGGTGAACGGCTCAGCCAGTAGCCTAGTCCTGGAGGGTTGTTAACTGTAGGGTTTCCGTAGTAGCTGGTGGGAGAAGAAATTGTAGGAGAATCTTGTCTGTCTACTGGGAGTCCAAGACAGTTGGAGATGTAGCTAACGTGAAGTTGTGCCGGGGGTGGCACGGGTGATACCCCATGGTGGTAGAGAGTAGACAGGGTGACAGGGGTTGGTCTTAAGCATCTGGGGAAGACTGGATGGGGTCTGGAATGAACAGATGGAGAAGGTGGTTCAGGCGAGGAAAGAAGCTCTGAATCATCTTCTCTAAAGTCATTAACTTCTGTGGATTTCAAAGTTTCTTGGTGGCTCTTCCCAGATCCCAAGATTGTATCTATGGAGAAGTTTGTGACGCTCAAGTTGGTACTTGGTGACGAAGTTGATAGGGCGGCGTTGGCCTTTTCCTCTTTGGATGCCATGAGTAGTCTAAAAGGAACGATAAAACCGAACCCTTACATCCTTAGTCATACACGGCATAAAAATTGACCCAGGTTGGACTTATCATAAAACTATTTCACTTTAGTCCTAATAACAAACATCTTCTGTAACTAAACTTGATACCATTAAATCCGTAATCCATATCAGTGTTAAATACCATACACAAAAAATAACGAATAACCTGAAATTGGTATGATGAGAGGAGAAAAAAAAAGTTGACTTACAAACAACAACAACAAAAAAGAAACAAAATGCATCTGAAAATGCAAAATCGTCTAAAACTGATTTAAGATGTTTAACTGATACCTGCCAGTCTAAATTTCATAGATGCTTAGTAAACGGCTAGTTGGAAGTGACTTTATTAGTGGTCGGAGTAAAGCAATGATTAGTATACATGATGGTGGTGACTTTATTAGTGGTCGGAGTATAACAATGATTAGCATACATGATGGTGGTGACTTTATTAGTGGTCGGAGTAAAGCAATGATTAGCATACATGATGGTGGTGACTTTATTAGTGGTCGGAGAAAAAACAGTGATTAACATACATGATGGTGGTGACTTTGTTAGTGGTCGGAGTATAACAATGATTAGCATACATGATGGTGGTGACTTTATTAGTGGTCGGAGAAAAACAATGATTAGCATCCATACTTTCTGCTGATGTACATTAGTAGTAATTCTAAGAGCCAATGAATGAGAACAAAGAGAACCACACTATATCTGCTATATACAGTGCCGACGAGGCCTTTCGAGTAACACCAAGGCTCATCATGCCAGCTGGAATTCGACAGATTTACATCATGGAAGTTCGACGAACATTTCTAGTCACATGTATGCATATCTTATATATTTATATGCATATATATATTCGTATTTAGCCATCTTTTTTTTTTTTTTACGTAAAGCTTAAAAAATACGTGGTTGAAAGGATTGTGGTAAGATCATTGGTTCAAACGAACGAATCATCCACACTCTGTACATGTTTGATGACCATACGAGGGTTTTCTTACAAGGTATGATTGACAGCTAACCAGCTTATGATATAGAACATTTTCAAGGGTTATATAGATTGAAATGTCCTTGTCTCAAGCATAACATACTTTCTTGATAAGAGTAGCACCCAAAAACTAAAACATTCGGGGTTTGCCTGAGTAACCACAAATATCCTCACCACAATGGTAAACATCTATGCATAACGGTCTACGCCTCTGTCACAAATCGGGGTTTTTAATTTAAAAAAAAAGGAACAAAAAAAAACGCCGTTATATTCAGACAGAGTTAACATTTAATAACAAGCACCAGGCGAAAATTGCACCAATGGAGACAGGGAAATAGATATAAGAATACACAATGAGTAAATTAGTTATATTAGAAAAAAAAAAACACACTAAAAAACAATAGGCTTAACGCATCGGCCAATATACATTTATCTAGAACATGCAACTTTCTTAAGAACTTTTTATTACAGATAGATAGATAAATTAAAAAAAAACAATAACGTGCCTACGTAAAACGATTTTTTCCATTTTAAACAAAAAGTCTAAGTAAAGTGTAAAGTTTCTGCAAAATTTGAGATTCAAAATGAAGACCCGTAAATTATCCGCACCGAATCACAGATATCACAGTTTAGAAAACATAAACACAGCATATTCTCCTTTATATTCAACGCTGTTAAGACTTTTTTTTGTTGTTAAAAGAAGAAGTACATCTATGGCTTATGACGATTGTTTGTTGTATCTATTAATAATAGCCGTTATACCTTATAATATATTTTGTAAAGATCCGTTGAAGAAAGACGTGTGTGTGCGGATAACTATGATATATGGACAAATACATATATAAATAATTGTATCATTATATACATTTTTTAATTCCTTTTAGAGCTAGAACTTATAATAATAACACGTTTATTAAATATTTATGATAAACTTTTGACTTTTTTTTTCTGAAGAGATTAAAGATTTATCAATGAACTTACCTAAAGCGTGACGAAGAGACAGTAATTATTGGTTAAAGTAAGCCGTGACACACTAATAAGGTTGACACAAGTTGTGCCATGGTAACAGGTGGGCCAGCAGGGAATGAACACTCAACTATTAAAGCTGCTTGCCTGAACTCAAACTGAACACCCACGTTTCCCGCTACTCTTTGCGTGTTGCTCGTCCAATCCCTGCGGTGATATAGCCAGAGCCTGATTCCATAAAGTGTCCAATATTTCCTCTTTAGCGGTCGCCTTTGAATCGATTGGCACTCATTGCGTTAGCGGGAGAACCGACCCCCATTAAAGTACTTTACAGGTCTAATTGCAGGTGCACCTTGTCGATTTTTAGTTAGCCACGCCTCCTTCGGCAATAACGCACAATTGTCAACACCCTGAGATAGTAAGCACGAGCGGTTGTTACCAATCCTTCAACGATAGGGCACGAATCACGCGGCTCGTGCTCTACGTCTCGAGATGACAGCGTACACCGCCCCGTCTATTTTCCTTCTGCCAACAACGGTAAGGAAGACTATTAAAGGAAAAACAGTGAATTCTCTGTTACATTTGGTGTGAAAGCTACTGCCTATTGGAATTCAATTGGTTTAAACAGGTGGAAGTTGTAAATTCTAAAATATTTTATGACGTGTCTGTGTTTAAAACGTATGAATAAACCTATTTATCCAAGAACTTAAAATGTTAGAAAACAAAAATATGCAAAGTTATTTTATACAATTAAGCCTTAATATCAGTGTATACGTATTTTAATCAAATCATTCTAAATTTTTTACTACGTATACACACATATACAAGGTATAAGCATCGAAAAGACAGATTAAACTCAATGATGCTACAGGCAAGCTTTAAACCTCCCAAAATTAGCAGTTATTATTTGAATTATATACAGTTTGTTAACATATATTTTAAATATGTGGTATAACTACATAATATGTGATTAATTGTCTTCAATTTTTGTTACATATAGTTTTTATTTTATGTTTCATGGAATCCTCTGCGATTGGAAAACTCATAGTACATCACAATTAAAAACTAAAAAATACTTTCAAATTTATGCCTGAGTGAGAAAGTTTTTTAAAAATAAACTTTTAAAATTTGATCTCAACTTCGAATGTAAACAGAAACCGGTTAAAGTTACAAGAAGTTACAGAAAAAAAGACATTGTCATAAGTTGTACAGAGAGGAGAGTTAAATTGTGTATATCGACTGAGGTCAGCTCCACCGAGGATCTACTTTAGCTACCGAAGTATTAAGTTAGGGCGGCCAATCAAAAATAATAACTTTGACTAAATTTTAATCAAGCATTAATTCCATGGAAAACATACAAAAAACACATTATAATGTTAGTTTGTGGAACCTTGGATACAAAGCAAGGAAGGTCAGTATCATTTGACTTTGTTTGATTTCGATGTGGATTAAAAAAAAGTTGCATTGTGACTGAATATGAGCTGGATGAACCAACAAGATACTTAGAGCTCCTCTTCCCCTTGCCCGTATGAGCTGGATGAGCCAACAAGAAACTTAGAGCTCTTCTTCCCCTTGCCTATATGAGCTGGATGAGCCGACAAGATACTTAGAGCTCCTCTTCCCCTTGCCCATGTGAGCTGGATGAGCCGACTAAATACTTAGAGCTCCTCTTCCCCTTGCCCATACGAGTTGGATGAACCAACAAGATACTTAGAGCTCTTCTTCCTCTTGCCCCCCCCCCCTAGTAGCACAGCGGTATGTAACCTCCTCCCCTTAACACCGAGGCTGGCTCCACCTAGCGATATAAGTACGTTACCTAACATATTTCTATTCGTTAGCCTCGCTTGTAAGGAGTAATTCGAGAAAGTAGGTTTTTTTGTTTTTTAGAGCAAAGCCATATTGGGCTATCCGTGGACAATCTAACCCTGAATTTTAGCGTTGTAAGTCCGTAAACTTACCGTATTTGAAGTATACATTGTTCTCATCTACACCAAATTTCACATTTTGTTTTTTTAAGACGGAATGAAAAAAGGAAGTTAAAGAAACAGGAAAGAAGACGAGATACGTAAAGTGTATCCTCTAAAGTTAGCGTTTTGGCCCCTCTCTTTTTAGTAGACAACGACAAGCAGTCAACTCAAGGAAGATGAAAATATGTTAGAGTTCACAGGAAATAATTTATCTATTAAGAATTTAAAATTTTGTAAAATAATTTTTCATTTTAGAATTAGGTTACAAGCACTAAGTATATTAGGTACCAAAATCTCATAACCAAAAGAATTAGAATTTGCTCTTTATTTAAAACAGGTTAATCTAAAGCAGTACACGATAGACCGATAAAAAGCTTCCTATAATTAAGATGGTTATTCTGTAACTTTGTTTATAATACTGGTCTGTTTGTGCTAAAGCCAAGGGCGAAAGACTGAAAAAGCTATTGTTCATTTGAGGCATTATGGGATATGTTTTGAAATAATCCATTGCAGATTTAAGCTATCTGGAAAGGAGAGGAGTGTGTATTCGTTTTACTGTATTGAAGAATGGGGATCGTTAAATAAATACAGACTTGTTTAATCACTTCAGCAGATTTGAGCTCGTGGCTTTAAGTTTCTCACATGTAAAACAACTATTAATTACCAACAACAAATATTAGGAAAGTATAAATTCCTATTTCCAATCAGTGATGATTATGTTCGCCATAATAAGCATAAAAAAGCCTTGGTTTAAATTCTTATAGAAACACAATCTAATAACTATGTAACAAGTAATAAAATCTCATTTAACAAAAAATATACTTATATAATAGAACCCTAATTAGATCACAACGAACATGATTTGATCTTTAAAAATCTAAATTTTATTATCATTTTGCCGTGTTATTCTTTCGAATGGGCCACTCGCGTGATTTCAAGTTATTCAAAAAATAAAAATAAAACCTAGTATTTAACACCTCATTGCAGTAATTTTCAAATCTAACTCTTGAACGAGATATCTGTACACTTTGAACTGTTTATAAATGAATGGAAGTGTTACACATAACAACCAGTCACACACACTTGTAATGACGTTCCTAAACGAGTAGTACCACAGCTTTTCTACCTTTGAAAAAAAACAACTCATTTTTGGCTTGCCCTGTGAGTGATCAGTCAACAGTTTTTACTGTGTTGAACATCCATTTAGACAGGTGTGTGTGCTTTGGTTAAATTAAAGATGTCATTAGCCATTGATTCTTCGCTGCGTCTGCAGGATTCTAATTTTCTTTCTTCAACTTAATTATCTTGGTTTGTTGATGGGCTATCGAGCGCTGCAAGATATACGAAGGAATTAAACTACATGATTGCATTAACTACCCTAATTTTAAGGTAGAAAGTAATGAACATTAATAAAAGCTTTTCAAATCATCCGTCAGTCTTTAGAAAAGGAACACGAGTAATTTGACAGACACTAAGAAAAACATAACATCATTAGGCCGAGTCTCATATACGGGCTTTTATCAAATAAAGATAGTGCTTCTCGGGCATAAATGTGTGGAAACCCTGCAGTCGCTCGCCGTGTTAGATTCGTGTGAGTAGACCTACTGTAAGCTAAATATAAACATATAACTTTAAAGAAAAATATTATAAAGCTTACCAACAAACTATTCTTTAAAATGTGCTTACCTACCTATTACTAATGAATCCTGTAAAAATAAAAAAAAATAAGTTTTTGAAATCGACGACGACATACCATAAAACCATGGCATTTTAAGAAAAACGTCAAATACGACGTAAAACAAAACAAAATGTAAACCCCATTGTATGATAAAAAAAAATCGTAAATCTCCCCCTTTAATTTCATGATTTTCCTAACGAATAACATCAAAGATTAATGAAAAATTTTTGAAACGTACAATTGTCTTTGTTTTCCTCAATTCGGTAATCATTGAGTTTCACCGGATACCGACGATTTTAAGTATTAATTATATCAAAATGAAACTGCCTATTAATAACTTGAATATTTAATGATACAGTCAACTCACTTTGAAGTGACAGTCACGACCGAATTTAGTGTAATGCTGTGAACATCAAATCGTGTTTAAAGTAAACGTTGGCGCTATAGTTTGAAAGAATAGGCCTATCTATCTCGATATTTGTGAATGATTCGGTAAGACACTGCCCTCTTTCACGGACGACTTATTTACTCTCGCCTTAATAAAAAATTCTAAGTTTATTACAAAATAATAATATTCTGCAAAATAGATAATCCATATGTTTAAATAAACTTTCTTACAGCTATTCTTTAATATTTTAATTAATAAAACAATTGTGTTAATGAAAATAATAACCAAACCCAAACTAACAGTAACACGCATTCTGTCAAAACATATTTAGTTTCGTGCGTGTTTTGGTATCAGAGATACTACTTTAAGTATAGAAGTTAAACTTTTTACGATAATTTGCTACCTTTGAAAAGCTGGAAGTAAAATTATTCATTAGTTCACGCGTATGAAAATATGTATATTAAAAAAGCAATAACTGTAACAGCTGGTCTAAATGAATTGGATAACTCACATTAACACACAGTAGACTAAATTTTCTGAAACCACCACGTGCTTAACTGTTTGTGAATCTGATAGAATAACTTTTACATATACTACAAATATTCTTAGCCAGTCTTAGCCAATATTCCAGTGTTTTCCAAGCTGTGGGGCGCGCCCCCTAGGGGAGCGCTGCCTTTTGGCGGGAGAGTCCAAAATTAACGACGGAAAAAATAGAAGAGGTGGTGACGACGATAACCCAACAAAAATATTACTTTGCTGTTATCACTTGCAGAAATTATTTTAATATGAAAGGTGGAGGCACAAAGGAAACTTTGCTAAGTTAGGGAGCGCCACTATTTAAAGTTTGTAAAACACTGGCCTATAGTATTTACATTTCATAAAGAGTATAGTAACAAAAGGACAAAATCTATAATAACCATTGCAGATAAAAATTAATATTGAACAAATCTGATCTGATTCTTAGAATAATTCAAATGGAATTTATTGTTGCG